TCTTTCTACCCCTGTTATTTTCATGTCAAGGTACACAAGTCCCATCTGCAAGGCCAGGGTTAGTGTGGCTAGAGCAGTATCCATGCATTTCTTAATACACAGTTCTACTGTACAAAGAATTATTTGAATAAGCACATGCAGTACAACCAGCAGCAGTAACATGAATAAAATACTATACAATTTCTTTTTACTTAGCAGTCTTAAATTTTTAAATGTTATCAAACCAGCTCAAAAGTTCCAGTTATTGGGTTCTTTTGCTTTGGCTGCCTCTTTTTTAATGTGTTCACTCAAACCATGAATGGTTTCAGAATCGGCTTGGATAAACATAAGACATAATTTTCCAACTGAAGTGCGTATTTCACACCTATGAGCCAGCATAAGGTCAAGTGTTAATCTGTTTTGAAGGGGACCTGTACGGATAGTTGTCATTTCAGTCATTATTTTGCAAGAATAATCTGCAGTGTTATTACCAATTTGCTTTAAATAATAGCTAATAAACAACTTTTTTAATGGCTCTTGCCACCTCATACATGGAAACCACAGTAGTCCCAAATTTTCAGGCTCTGAGATACCTTGCCTTTTCTGAGAGTATTCAGAAGGGAGAGACAACAAATGTTGAACAGCTGGGGTTATACACCTGATATAACATGATCCAAACCAATCCTGTGGCTGCCACGGGTATGCAAATGTGCCATGAATGAAATAGGCTCCCAAGGACATATGTAGAGATGATGTCAGCTCACAGTTTTGTGAGCTATAAAATAAACATCTAGTATCAGTCTGACAATTAAGAGTTTTGGTACAATTACTATGTCCCATGTAGGATGTTGCATTTACTTTCAATTAACAAGTGTTCCCAGGGACATCCAATCCCAGGAGGTAGGTAGGAGCTGGAACTTTGTGCACATCTGTGTTGGATCAACTTAGATCAGTTTCCATTTATTGTCATTAAGGATGATCTTGGACAAGGAATTTCTATCCTCTGGGGATTCCAGACTGGTCTTTTTACTGACAAATTGCACGCTATAGGAAGCATGGAAATACCTTCACTAGAATGATGAGGGCTGTGGGAACACACCCAGCCTAAGTCTTCAGCATAATGGTAGGCCAACTGAAGAAAGGTATTATTTTACTAGTTTGTGTGATGATATAAAGACTTTCAGTGCTTGGAGAACAGGGCATCCTTATGGGTTCCATTCTATTGATCATGAGTAGTCTGTGTGTCACCTTGGTGTAGACCCAAGTCTCCATGCTCCCAGGAGTGGCACGTTCAGTGGCAGGTTCTGGAAGGGCTTCTTTTACCTGTGAGTGAATAGTCCTCACACATTTCATTAGAGACTTGCAATAATTCAGCATAACATCTGTAGCGTGGATCAATGCAGTGGCTTACATAGGGTATGCAGCAACCTTATGGGCTTACCCCTTACAATTTCATATGGGGATAATGCATGGTTTTTATTCACTGTGCTCTTGCTATCTATTAGAGCCAATGGTAAAGCTTTTGGCCATTTAAGGCCAATTTCTTCACAGATTTTGGCTAGTTTGGTTTGTAAAATGGAATTCTTACTTTCAACAGCTCCACAGCATAAATGCCATTGAATTACTATGGCTTCACAGAACACCTGGACAACTTGTTCCGTGAAATAAGTCCCCCAGTCACTGTGTAGTACAAGGGGTATTCCAAAGTGAGGCATTCTCTCAAGAGTTTCTTGGTGACAGTAGTAGCTTCTGCATGTCTATATGGGCAGGCCTCTACCTATCCTGAGAACATGTTTATGATTACCAAAATGTATTTGCAGTTACAGCAGTTGGGCACCTGTATAAAATCCATTTGCAAATTTATAGAGGAAACCTACGGGTTTGGGTGTGCTGCAAGCTTGGTTTTGACCCTTTGATGTTATGGACCAAGCAAACGGGACAAGTGCTGCAGTATTGGTGTGCTCTTACAGAGAAATTTGGAGCAAGCCAATCTCATTGTATTGCTTGCCCAAGCGAGCCACCAAGTGAGTCACACCAGCAAGGTAAGGGAGAACCTGAGGTGCAATGAGGTGGCCATCTGGGGAGCACCACAAGGAATGGAGGTGTAACTGGCAGCCCTGGAACTTTCAGACAGTGGTGTTGTTTCCAGGGGCTGGGTCCTGTAAAACAGAGTTCTGAAAGAGAAGCAGGCAGTGACTGCACTGTGGAAAGGCTGATGAGAGCATGTTTAAGAGTGTGCTGGCCAGAAAGGCCTGCTGTCCTTGCTGATTGATCAGTTAAGGCATTTTCTCATGTGATATGATCATAAGGAAAAACATGAATTTAGCATTTTACTATTGCTAAATGTAATGGTAATAAAAATGCTTGTAGAAGAGCTTCAACATAACAGCTGTTTTGAATAGGAGTGCCAGATGATGTTAAGTTGAGCTCTTTTCAAAGTTGCCTACAGTTGTGCACAGCCCCAAAGTCATATCGGGAATCAGTGTAAACACGGATTGCTGGGAGCAGCTGACTTTCTTTGTGCAAGTACAGAGGTGTGACTCAGGACAGCAAGTTTTGCAGTTTGTGCTGAAGAAACAGTTGGCATCTAAAGCATCTAGACCTTTGATGGAAGTACAGACAGCACACCCTACAGCTAGGTGCTCGGTGGAGCCATGGGGACAGGACCCGAGGGTTATGTGTGGCTTCTGTAGGGGAACATCTCTGAGGTGGTGGTGGGTTGTCAGGAGTTGTTCTGTGACAGATGGCCATGTGAGTCTCCATGGGCAGGGGCAGGACATAATGCTGCAGGGTTAAGGGCAGAACAGCAGGAGAAATGATTGCTGCTGTCAGTTGTTTTTGTTGGAACATATGTTTGTGTTGGAAATGTGCTGGGGTTTCCGTTTTAAAAGGAGGGCTGTAACAAGTTGGGGAACAACAACAGTTAGGGGATGACTCAGGACCAGAATATCTGGGGGTTTTTTTCTATGAAAAAAAAATCAGCCCTGGCTTTATGTGGTTTCTTTTGTTTGGGTTTTGCTTTTTCCATTGGATGTCTTTTCATGACAGTTGAAAAAGACATCCCATTGGACCTGGGCCACCAGGTTGACTGAGTATTTATACTATTAAACATATCAACAAGGGATCCAGATTTTAAAAAATTAATGCATTATGAAAGTTACATTAAAAAAAAAAAAAGTGTGTGTATTACTTCTCAGTTGGTAGTTGTGAAGTGTTGGGATTGCAGTCCTGCAGAATTAAACCTATATGTAAAGAGGTGTGACATGACTCTCTGTGCCAGGACAATTTTTTCAGCTTTTCCTGCAGCATTTATTTACTGTTATTCTTCAGCCTAATCTGATCTATGACTATGTGGGAAAATTACAGAATTTGAAGTGTTTTGTCCAGCTCCAAACATATCTTCTTTACACTATCTTCGGAAAGCTTAGGAACCTTAACTTGGCAGGAAAATAGAAGTGGAAGGGGGATGATATTCACAAAATCCCCAGTTTAAAGCATTAAAGTCTAATATTTGGCTTTGTGCTGCTAAATAAGTGGGCTTGGGTCCAATGCCTGGCCTCAAGGCCAGCTGGTGCTTAGGACTATCCCACTCTCTAGGAACCTCCTGGAAACAGGTTGTTGGAGCGATCCAAATACAGCTGGAGAGTAAGTTTACAATTAAGCAGTGTTGATTACAGAGAAGTCAGTGCTTGAGCTGTACCCAGGTGCTAATTATTTAACAGTATAAATTTACTGACAGGATCTTCTCTCTTAGTTAATGGAGAAAGAAAAATTTTGTTACTGATTGTTTCAGTTCACCTAAGGTCAGGTGACTTCCAGGGAGGACACACAGCAGAAATCTCCTTGTATTAATTAACAGGAAGAGAGTGGCTTCCATTGGCTAAACTTAAATTTTATATATACACCACCAGTGTCCTAAGACAATGAATCTGTTAACATCATACCATGAGGCATTTATGCAAAAGCTTCAGTACCTTATGCCAGGCAGCAGCTACTAGTGGCGTAATTATTCTATAGAGAACTTTCCATTACTAGTTATATTTTGGATGTGAGCATTTTCTAGTGAAACTGTAATATCAGTTGTCAGGAAAAAAAAAAATAAATTCAGAAGCTCTGTCTGTGGCACTACTGACTCTGGAAGAGTTCTTGAGTTCCTCATTTGCGAGACAAAAATCTAAAGCCTTTGACAAAAGTTCTTTTGGGTTTGAATCTTTAGACAAAAAAAAAGTTTTTTTTTTAATGCAAGTACTTTGCTCACAAAGACTGGAACAGCTCCAGCATTCCCAAGGCTTACAACTAAATCAGTGGCTAACGTAAGAGAAATTAAGCATATGACATGACTTCCAGATAGTTGAACAGATTTACAGGTGGGAGGCTCAAATAATTAGCATAAAAGCAGGCTGGGTGAAGTCTCAAGACAGAAGAATGCAAAATATATTAAAAATTCATGATCCATTCTTCTAAATTAATCACTGATGTTAAAAATATTCACCTTTTATTTATGTCTTCAGGTTTCTCCTGAGAAGGTTTTGTTTGAATCCAAGTCATTCTTTCTGCATTCATACTACCTAATGTCTATGTCATCAAGAAAATATACCAAATGTAGCAAGACTTGGCAGCTGTGAGATAACCTCCTGTTTTTATAATGATGTCCTAGACTTCCAAAAACTGAAGTATCTCATATTTGTATGGAAAAGCAGAGCACCAAGTTTTGTTTATTTTTGTTATGACCATCCTGGGGAATAAATGCAGACTTTTTTTTTCCACAGCTATTCAAAAATACAATCTTTTCTGAAGTTAAAACAGTGATACCTTAGAGTGTTGTGTACAGTGATAGGGTGCTCTGCAACTTCAGTACCAATTTATGACACTGGGTGGACCTCTGAAGTCAGAAGAACAAGAAAATAAATACTTAATTGACATGGTCATGGCATGACAAGAGTGGATTGGGCTCCACCCTGTTTGTTAGTGCCGTGATTTCTCCATGCTTCATGACAGGGAGATTTGCTGCGGCATCACTTTACTGTTTGTGACTGAAAGAATGGGAATAAATTATCACAGAAAAGCAGCACAATAGGCAGTTAAATATTCTTCCTGATAAGAAACTTCAGTGGCTGTTTGGAATCTGCAGTTCTTTATCATAGGACTTTAACTCATCTTGCTCTTGAAATACTTCTTCTGCACCAGTTCTGCGGAATCTGGACTAGAAGTTTTGAAAGGTAAGGGATATTGTTACTTAACTGTTGAGTGCACATTGTTATAGCCACCTCTTCTAGGTAAAACTCTCCTTCCTTACTCTGTAGTTTTAGTCTTCCAGGATGTCTTCACATTTTGTACTTAATTATCCAGTTTCTAAAGTGAAAAATTCATCATCTCCTTAGTCATGTTTGAAGCTAGATATGCAGGTGTTTATCCTGGGTGAACCAGAACTAAAATTCTGTATTGCCAAAATCGTAAGTATTGTATTTGCATGAGTAGAGTATTTAATGATACAAAAATCCAATTTGTTGTCCACAGATAACTTTGTGCTTTCATCTATCTGTAAAATGTAGCTAAATCTGTAGTGTACTTAGCAAGTGTGTTATCCTCTAATATATATCTCTCCAAGGAAATAGTATTTATCTGGTTTAACAGAAAACTGAACATCCATCCAGGTATTACACAACATGTAGTTTTTCAGTTGCGACCTAACAGGTACATATTTACAATCTACCATAAATCTAAGAATTATGGGGTTTAATTTATATTATAAACTTTATATCTTTATAATAATGCTGCAGTTTATATAAGAAAAAGAATCCTCTTCAAAAACCCATGAGACACCGATGCTGTCTGTCGTAGTTTTTAATATGCTGCTACTAATGTGTAGGGTCTTCTGTGTCCTGAGACCAAATCAGTGCAAGGGTTCTACAATGTATGAAATATGTGGAAGGTCCCATTGTGCTGTGGATTTGAATTTAGGTACACCTGTCAGCTGGATAAGTCCCTCATGAACTTTCCGTATAGTTTCTTTGATAATTATACAGGTAAGCATTGAATGATGATTGTATCATTTATTTTATTACAGGATTCAGAATCTCTGCTTAGGGCTCACAGCATCATTTACAAATGTTTAATAAAATGTTTAATATAATGTTTAATTGTGTATGAAGGAACTGGCGGATCATCTGATTTTATGTTGTTCTTGATTAAGTTTCCCATGTGGTCTGGAACAAGATGTTTACCAATAGTATTTCCCTTCCTTAAACTTCGCCAACATGTAATGTTTGTGAAGCTTTTTAACATCTTGTGACTGAATTGCTATAGAAATGCAAAGTATGTGTTACTAATTTAGAGAGACAGAATACCCTCAGTACTCAAGCTGTGACTTCATAATTGATGTCTCTCCATTGCATGTAACATCCAGCCATAATATCACACTAATAGTGCCTTCATACCATCATTCATTCAGTTTAAAATACTCATTGCTTTTGATACTTCACTTTCAGCTATCCCATGCTTTTAGTAACCTAAAAAACTGAAATAAAGTTGCTTTGAAGGTGATGTAACAGGCATTTTACATGCTTCACTAGATTTTATATAATGGTTTATGAGCTAAGAATATGTAACTGCAGAAAAGAGTTGTAAAAGCTGTTTTTGTATACTTTGCTAGTCAGACCTGAATTTAGTACATATGCAGTAAACTCTATTGTGCTTCTAATCTTAATCAACTGAAACAAATGAAGACTACATTCAATAACGGATTAAGTGAAGTGATGGCTACTTTATTTCTTCTATCAGAACTACCAGGAGCACATCAGTATTCATCATATCATTCAACTGAAATGAACACACTTATCACTGGAAATATGAATTGTATCACTTTCATCCATGTGTCTAATATGAGTCCAAACTGTAGTGGCTTAGGCAGCTAAAGCAAAATACACAAGTAGGGACAGTGCCTTCATCATCTGTTCTTTGCTATCATCTGTCTTTCTTCATCAGCTCAGCAAAGGCTGAGCCACAGCTTTGTGACCCACAGCTTTGCTGCCTAGTAAGTACCTGAGCACAATTCTTCTGCTAGTTTAAAGGAGATATATCTACAAGGTAAAGGTAATCCAAACCCCAGAAATTTTGTGATTTACCACTTTGAAAACATTTGTTACTAATAAAAAATACCACTTCCTATGTTTATTTCTCAGAAGCAATTAAAAAACAAAAAAATTGTCAAATGGAAGTTTGATCAGGATCAAAAAAAGTAGAGACACAAAATAAATGCCTTTAAGTGGTGCTTGAGAACCAATCTCTCCTTTAATAAAAAGAAATTCTCACTGTAAGTCTGCTTTTTAAATAGTAATTAGTGAGAAAATACATCCGTTTGATGGTGTTAACAGCATCTACCTTGTGGTTTTGGGTCAGATCTGCACATTGTATCATCACATCTTCAGATTTGTGTGGCATTGCAGCATCATACAGCCACAAAAGGTTCATCCCAGAATTTATGTAAGTCTGTTTTTTTACAATAGCATCCCACCCTCCTTCACGTGGAAAAGGCAAAGAACTGGAGTTAAGCCCATCTCCACCTGTGTTTCCCAGGCGTTCTGCCTGACCTTTTCTTTGCAATCCTCATTTTTGCCCTAGAATTTTTTTTTTTTTTTTTTCATTTGAAGCCACCAATCTTCTTTTATATGAAGCCCCAGCTCAGCAATTTCATAGCTCCCACATGCCCTTCTGGATTGCATTTCTAAGTATTTTCCTTTTAAAGAACTACAGCTTATGTGTTCACAGATATTTGGCTCCCATTTCCAAGTAAAATCAATGAGAGCTTGGCAAACCTGTAAGAATCCAGACCTAGTCACTAATAACCTGGAGGACAATATTTTTTATTAAAACTTTATTCCATGTCTGGATTTAGCTTTGGTTAATCCTCTTGCCCCCCAGTACCTCTAACAAAATATTTTAAACACAGTAAAAAGTTAGTTATCTGAAATTTTAGCAGTATTTACTAGAATTGTCCAATTCTGCTCAATACTCTAAAAGTAAACATGACATAGTTCTTTTTCTAAAAATCTTAAAATCTAACTATGATCTATGTAGAGAAAAATATATATGTGCATAATTCTTCACTTCTGCTCAGTCTGCCTAAACAGGTCAAACTGCTGATTTGAATCATTATGTATGACAAGTTACACCCACTTGTTTTGAGGCAGACGTGGAAGGACATGTGTTTTCTCAGGCTAAAAATGTATGTAACTTAATGATTCTGAATCATGTAAAAGTTATCTAAATCTAAAAGCCAGCCAATCGTGTTCCCTTGCACAGCTATTATTCTGTCAACATAGACTATGCTCTACCTAGTGCAGTGATACACAGCAATGATGCAGCTTTGACACCAGTCCCGTGGTGTTCTCATCCACCAAATGTCGGTGTTTGTTTCTCAGAGCAGTTTCGGTGTATATGAGCGAGATTCCTCCTGGAGGAGCCTACCTCCCAGTTTCCCTCCAGACACATTCAAAGGCTTGAGGGATCTGACCCCACATGTGGACCACGCCATTGCAAAGTCCTGCAGCATGGACCTAACGAATTGCCAGTAAGAGGTTCTCAAGCAGGACAGAACTCTCAAACACTGTGGATCCATCTGATGCTCTAGAGAGCCAAATGCCATGGGAGCATTTGCCTCAGTTGCCAGCTCTCAACTCTTTCTTGAAACTCTGCTGCTTCTTCCTCAATCATCCACATTCCTTATGCATAGTCCCTTCACATCTTTACCTGCCTTACTTCCTGTTACTCTTCCCCACTGCTGAACCCTTTATTTTTTTATTACCTTATTTTTACAGTCTAGTTCAATCTCTTTAACTTTCCTCCTGTGTAAAATGCCTTTCACCTCTCAGAAATCCACTAACATTACGTGTTAATCTGAAAGGGACAAAGATATCACAAAAACCATAGGATAACTCAGCAACAGTACCAGGAGGTTGCTAACCTCAGGACTGCTACCAAATGTAAGACAATCACTGAGCAATAATTTATTAAATTTAAAGAAAATCAGATTGTCTTCTCAAAGACATTGAACACTCCAGGGGTTTGTGTCTTGGGATGGGCGCTGGATAGTAATGTGGATCCCCTCAACACTCTCACTTTTTGCAAACTCAACAGGACCAAAGAACAAAGTAAGTTCAATGGAACCATTATTCAAACGAAAAGTGTTTCATGGATGGCCATGGATGGCCTAAAGACTTTGATCACTGTTTTGCCCACAATGGACTTGTCTATGCAAAGCTGGTTAGCCACTGATTAGTAGGAGTTGGGGGTTGCAAGACTACACAAGGCAGTGGATGCTCTTTGAACACAAGAATAGGTTCCAAAATATTGTGCAAAAATGATAGAGGAATGGAGCCAGCTCAGAGACACCTTCAAAAGGTGCCCCTCTACATCTGAAAATTTCACAGCAATTGTTGATTATCCCATATGTTATGATTATGCAGTTCCACAAGCCTGAGGTCACCTCCCATCTCCATAAACTTCCAGTCAACTGTAAGCAAAGCACCTGGAGCAGCAAGGTCTTCAGAAGCACATTCTTCCACTGCTTCTTTATGTCCGAGGACTGGAGGCCACTTGGTCCATGGTGTCTTCTTAGCATTGCTGCTGCAGGTGCTGGGTAAAGTCTGTTCTTCCCCAAGTCTTCCTTGCAGTGTGTGTTGTTCGCACTTGGACAGAGGAGGTAGATCAGACAGCACAAGCCCTTGTGTCAGGTGGAAATGGTACTAATAATAATAAAACCACTTTCATATGTATTTCTTTAATACTAGTGATAATAACACGGGCATCGGTGTGTTAATGCCATTGTCATGAGTTAAATGAATGGAGAGGTTGGTGTTTCCAGAGGGACCCACAGAAAGGTTTGCAAGCTATCTTCCTTTCAGATAGTTTCAAACTACAGATGTAATACAGTGTGCAGTACTGAGCCCAATTGTATCTCATCCAAAATAAACTCCCCAGATCAAATACAGTAGAGCTATCAGAAGCCTGAACACCCACTACTTTCAGCATATTCAACCTTTCCTGAATTACGTGCTAAAATAGATAAATACATAGTAAACACATAGCAAAAAGTAGGTCATGTGTAATAAATGGTCATGTGTAATAAATGTTTCCACCACTAAAAAAATGTCAGTTTTCCTGAATCAGAAAGCTAGCCTGGACTATAAGGCAGTCTCTGGGCATATAATGCCATCATGAAGTATGTCCAACTGAGGAAATAGGAGACCAGAAGGGATGGACTTCTGTCTCTGAAAGTATCCCAGGATCTCAAAGAGAAAACAGTGTAGAGTTGATTTCATCTAATCAGAGGAACTAAAATAAATAGATCACTACTCATCAAGTGTAAATTTTCAAACCAGAAAAAATCCTCACAATATTATTGTCAGTTTGCGAACATGTGTTATACTTGTTAGGCACGTGTGCAAAAATCAAGCATAGGAAGATCCTTTGTGAAGGTTCACAGACAGTCAGTGATCAAGAGAGGGAATAGAACTGATTCAGCAAAGCATTTTATCAGAAACCAATATGACTAATATGTTTAGAGTCAGGTGCTTGTAGAAGTTTTTCAAACTGGGATAATAAATTTATAAATACTTGTGAAGCATTTCTCTGTACCACACTTTCTCGCGGTTGTTTCCAGTAGTACTCAAATGTGTTCACAAGCTTTATGAAAAACACAGTCCTTGTTCTGAAGTTACAGATGGGGAAGGAAGATGATAGTTCTGTCTGGTATAAATTCAGTTTTGCACAGCATACATTGTGTACAAAATGCTTATCTTGAAATAAAATTGATAAATCCTTTTTAAAAATTTTGGCATACCCTGTGAAATACCAAATCAATTTCAAAAGGCAAAATAATACTTTGGATACTTTGAAAAGGTCAAAACATTTTAGGATATTATGAATAAATTGAGTTGGTGTCATTGTGCCTGGATAAACTGAACCAACACAAAGCTAAAGCCTATCCACATATATTTAATAAATATAATATTTAAAGCATCGTTCTGTGTTCTGTTCTTTTCAATGAGGCAAGTGGATATTTTCATCATTTGTTGCTTTATAGTCCACAATCCAAATCCTGCTATAAATAGTTTTCCTATAGTGTTAATCACTGACATTTTTGACTGCCTTAAAAATGTTATGAATTCATCTGTATAGCAACTCCTATGGTATGAAAATAATCGTTTGCAATTTGGTTGGTATTTTCACAGGTGACTACTAATTTTGGGTGCTCTACGTAAGATGGATATTGTATAAGATGGATACTGCTGTATTATGGTTTTCCTTCTGTTTTCTATAGACTAATGACACTCTCAGCATAAAATTTTACAGTCTATTTTGTCTTTTCTACGAGTGTGAATATTATTCAAGGCCCTTGTGAATAGCTATACTTAGTACAATGTTAACAATGTTTACAGATTTTTATTTTTATGTATTTAATAGTATTTTGTCTTCAATAAGTTTCGGCTATTGAAAATATAAGTTTAACAATGAAGAATAAAAGATGTCTAAATCAGTATTTAAGTTTCAAGCTATAGTATTCATAATGCATTATATCGAGCACAGAAACTATAAAGGCAACTGATAAAAAGCAGAAATATTCTCTTAAGTAAATATATGTATAGATATAAATTCTTGAGAAGTGTTACAAAGAAAATACAGCATAAAAGTTCGTGTCCAAGTATGATGTTTTCTCCTGTAATAACCAAGTAAAAGAATGTAGTAAAAATTGAGACCATCAAAGGGTTTTTTTCCTTCATTGTCATAATAACTGTAAAACAAACAATACTTGTCTCCAAAACCAACTTTAATAGTTTAATCTGTTTTTAAAAAACAATGGTCAGCTCCCTTTATCTTTCTTTTTTCTTCTACTATAAACAGTATTTCTTACCCTGTAAAAAAGACTACAGGGGGAGGTGAAAGGGATTATTCCATGGTCAGATCAGCATTTTCTATTAATTTTATACCACTAACAAAAAAGAATAGCATAACAAAAACAGAACTCTCACAAACATTAATAATGTTTTAAGCTGTGAAGAACAGAAAGTCTACTTCTAAAGTCTTCATGAAAATTCGGAAATTCTATGCTGTATTATGGCAACTCTACTAAATTCTAATGTATTCCTATGAAAAGAATTAATGTAAAAGAGTGATTAGCATGCTATGTACAGTAACATGCTATTATCTTCAATTTGTCATGCTGTCTTTAATCATCTAACATTCCTGTCTCCTATTAAATCGTATTTATTTTTACTTCTAGACTCCTACTGCTAGACTTTGCATCCTATAGATCTAAGTAAAAGGTAAGAAGAAACTCTTCTTCTAAATACTGGGCAACTTATAATTCTTTTTTTTTTAATCTAAATTTTTCAGATTCTTCTTATTTCAAGTATGTATTTGTATGGGAAAGTGTAGAGAAAAGCTTTCAGGACTATTTGCCTCAAGCAACTGTTACTTGTCATTTTTTTAAATTATCAAATTTATCAATATTATTAGGTGTGAATGAGGAACGTGTTGCTTATAAGTAAAAATTGTTTATGAAATATATGCACTGAGTGTATTAAATATACATAATACTCTTCTTACTGATTCTAGATAGAATTTTAAATGCATGATTTCTAAATTCACAATATTGTAAACATCCTAATGGACATCTAAATTAAAAAAAAAAAAAAAAAACAACAAAACAAAACCAAAACTTTTGCACATTAAAAGTGTTGTGATTTTTTTATTATTATTATTGCAGGACCTAGTAAAAACAAAGGACAACATCTAGAAAAGAGAACTTTAAACACAGTATTTGGACCAATGACAGTAAGTGCTGTAGACATTACTTTAAAAAATGTGGTTACTTCTTTCAGTTTCTCAGTATAGAAAGAAGTCTAACTTCGGGTTCCTTTCTTTTTCACTTTTTAATCTACTTGTAACTTTTAATGTGTACCAAGTAACTGCAGGAAATTTTGTTGGTTTCATATAACTGAAAACAGTGAAGAGGGATGTATGGAGCTCAGTTACGTAACACAAGTATAGGATCTGAATCGCTGAAGGGTCCTTTAGAGCCCCGCAAACCTGCCCCACATCATCTTGTGTGTTATCATTAGTCATGGTCCCATTGTCCTACTGTCCCACAGATATCAGCCAGGGCTGCATGATTCCTGCAAGAACCTTTCCAGATTTCTCCACCAGAAATTCCAGTATCACTCTGTTACAGTTTAGAAAACAAAAAGTAAGCAATAAATTAAATAAAGCAATTTATTGCAGTTAAGGGTGTATTTGAATGAATAAATTTATGGGAGTTGGTTACACCTAAACAAGCAGCTACTTGTTCAGCCACCGGCCTAAGCAGAGTTGGTCGTCTTCTGGTTGAAAAATTCAGTTACCTATATTTTGGCAGGAGCATCTAAGCAATGTCACCATTGGTGTTACACTTTGAAAGGTGTCCTGTTCTTACAAAGCAGCCCAGCTAATGAGCCCCTGATCTTTAGATTTAAAATCCAGATGTCAGATGGAGGTTTAATGAAAATTTGGGAGGTAAGAAAGAAGAGACCATATATACCAAAGGCAGTCTTCCTACATTAGTACTGATGTTTTGGGGATCTCTAGTTCAGAGAAAATCTGGGTGTTGCCAGTCTTTATTATCAATAAATACAGCAAAAAAAAAATATGATAAAACTTGTCCACCTCATCCAGGCTCTTATTGCCTGGAGCAGATACATTGTAAACACCCAAGCGTTAACTTTAACCTCTGGAATAGGCCTACTATCTTCAGCTAAAACCAAGTATCTGTAAATCTTTGCAGAATACATTCCCCTAGTTTAGACAGTATTTGAAGAAGCTCTGAGTGATAACTGAGTATTTCTTTCACAACAGCACAAAAATATAAGTTTTTTGTTGCAAAAGAATCCACAACCTGGACTGCATTCACATCCTGTTAGAAACTTCAGATGCTGAATGAAAAATAATAGAACATGCCTCAGAGATGAATGGGTCCCAACGAGCCAGAAATAATGGTCTTAAATTCAGTAGGGAAATTATCAACTCTTACACCAAGGTTATTCACTTGAATTTTCAAGTTTCTCAACTAGTCTCATTGTATGTAGAAGATGTTTTAATTCACTTTTTACTATTACTCTGCCTCTCACTGAATATTTACTCTATTCTGCTGCTGCTTCAAGTCCATGAAAACAAGCACCTGAGGTTATTGATGTTCATGTTTCTACCAGTGTTTGTAAACTTGAGCGTTTTTTGGTCTATCTTCCACTGAACAAATGCCGTATAGATAGATGCTACTGCAAAATTATCTTCTGTGATGCCTGAAGTCTTATTTCATAGGCAGCTGCCTCAAAATGAAGGGAGAGTTTTTGAAAAGTTGTGGAGTTTTCACATCTATGTGCTTTGTTAAACAAAGCCTTTCATGGGTGGAAGGGACAGCCGTGGATCCCTTCTAGTTACTCATGTTAGCGTCTTTATTTACAGTAAAGTAATTCTGGCATGTCCGAAGAAAAGCTACCACACAGGTTTGGCTCGTTTTCATCCCAAGTTAACTTTAGGAAACATTTTGAGTCTCTTTCCTCTAGTGTGAATGAACTTTGCAGCGTTCCAACGAGCTTCAAACCTCATCCAGATACTCCCTGGAATCACTGAATATCAACCAAATTAGTACTTTTCACATTGGTGTCATTCCCATTTTTATTTCACAAGCATTATTTCGCAAATTGGCTTTATATTTAACCAGTGTTTCTTCCTCTGGCATGTACACCAACTGCTGTTATTCGGGCCTACCGCGCAACGCCCTCAGCGCCCTGGCCGTGCAGGCCAGCCAGGGCCCCGGCAGCCCGTGGATGGCCGCTGACGGATGGCCGCCTCGCGGACGGCCGCTCGCCGCAGGGGAGGCACGCTGGCGGCACACGGGGTTTCGCGACGAACAGCCCCCGGTCTCGCTGAGGACTGACCACCCGGGAACCCACCCGGGGCTGGGAAGGGCTCCGGGAGCGGGGAGCGCGGCCCCAGCCCAGCACCGAGGCCTCAGGCCTGGCTGTGCCGCGGAGAGGCCGGCGCCGAGGGAAGCGGAGGCCCCGGCGGGGCCAAGCAGCCGCCTCTCCCTACCGAGGGGCCGGGGCGGCCGGCGGAGGGATGCAGCCCCATCCCAGGGCCAGGGCGGGGCGGGGGTGGCGGGGGGGGAAGTCTGCTCTGAGGGGAAAACCGGGGCGGGGAGGGGACAGGCTGGGCCGGGCCGGGCCCGCGGCGCCTCCTCTTCCCTCCCCGGCGAGGCAGACGCAGGCGCTGGCGGGGCGGGATGGTGGCGGCGCCGGCGGGCTGGGGAAGCGGGTCGGTGGCGGAGCCGGGCGGTGCGGGGGGGTGGGCGGGGGCAAGCGGGCGGCGGCCTGCGGCCACCCGGCGCCGCGGCCAGCCCGGCTTCCCCGTGAGCGCGGCCAGCGCGGCCGCAGCCGCCTCCCCATGAGCGCCCCGGTGACCCCCAGCAGCGCCCCGGGGGGCCGGGGGCCAGCGGGGGCCGGGCCGGGCCGCGGCTTGGGCCGGGCGGCAGGAGGAGGAAGAGGAAGAGGAGGAGGAGAAGATAGCAGCGGTGTCACTGATGCGCTGCGTCTTGTGCTTCCCCGCCAGGTGTTCTCCCTCTGGCTTCCTATGTCCTATTACCAGGAGGATTTCTTCAAAGAGTACCTCAAGATGATGGCGAATATTATTGTCCTGAACTTGCTGATTTGTATTTCTCTGGCGTTCTGGATCGTGTCCATGACTGCAAGTACGTACTACGGTGAGTCCAAAGGCCAGTGAGCGGGGAGAGGCCGGCATGGCGCGGCGAGGGGCGAACTGAGCCCCCCCCATCCCCTTCAGCCCCGGGAGGATGGAAAGAGGGGTGTGCACAGCCCCTTCCATTGTCAGTAGAGCTGAAAACCTCAGCCCTGATAGGAGGTGGGTGCTAACAGCCACTGTACCCTTATTTGCAGCACTACCCAGGGATCCCGTTGAATTTAAAATGGTATCCTTCGTGATTTGTCTCCCTGGAAAGGGGAGCGAAAGAGTGAGCTGATAGAGGTCTTTCTGTATCTGGAGAAGTAGTGACAGCATGGGAGGAGTGCGCCAGCTTTCAAAACAGTTTCGGGAATGCACATGCAGCCTTTGAACTGGGCATGCAAGAATTCCTTGGTCAAGGAACAGAACCAGGGGAAATAGTACAAAAAGAGAGGGATTCACTGGCACGGTGTATACAGTCAACTCTGTTCTGCTCAGGCAACTCTGGCAGGCTGTGAGTTAGTTGTGTGTAGTTGCAGGGACACTAGTACTCTCTGTGGTCTATAATTTCGGTTCTAGGACCATCTTTACAGTAGTGTGCAAAAGCAGCAGTACTGCCTTCCACATCAGTTCAAGCCTACAAGAGTTTAACTGCTTTCCTGGGACAGGTAAAGACCTCAGCCAGTTTGATGCAGGAAGAGCTCCTGTGTCATTGCAGTGTTGCTGAGTGTCACGGGATGCAGTATGAACACCCTCAGCTGCCTAGTGTCACCCTGGATCCAAAAGCTAGAATAAATATCCCACCAATATAAGCTGCTTTTTGCAGTGGTAGTTGGATGTCTCTGCTCAGTGTTTTTAGTGCTTCAGGAATTAGAATGGGGAATTAGTCCTGGTACAGCACTGAATCTGTGTTGCCTGGACACTTCTACTGTGGCTTGTAGAGAGATGCCAGACACATAGAAGGTATGCAGAAGCAGGCTTTACAACCAGGTTTTGTATGTGTCATTTAGAGCTAGGCAAGTTGGATTTAAACATGGAACTTTGTGTGTGTCTGCTCTCTGTCAGTATAGCGCTCTGAGTTTTTCTGCTAGTTAGGATATTCCAGTCCTTGCTATCTAACCTGATTGAGAATTGGCAGCTTCGAGTGGAGAGGCCTGGTATCAGATGAATCAGGATAGGGACTGATACAAAGGAGGATGCTGCAGACGAATCCTCCTTTTTATAGAGAATTGTTATGTAACAAAAAGGACATAAAACTTTTTTTGTCCATTTGCCTGAGGCTATGGAAAGACCTTGGCTTGAGGAGGTGAATGAAGTGTATAGTATCAATGGGCTTAATGAAGTGAGAGAGTTAAGTAAATTCAGCCCATAAAAACAATTAAATCTTCTACAGTCTTTAATCATAAATATAAAACTACTACAAACATGCATTTATTAATTTACAGTTTATAGTTCATAGTAATGCTTAGTAGTCTTAACTAGTAGTAATTTAGTATTACATCTAGTAGTAATTTAGTACTAATACATTTTTTTTTTCCCCCAAGGAAATACATAAAGGTCAGTTTAAAAATGGACTTAAAAAAATTAAAATTTTGTTTGTTAACTCAGCTAACCAAAAAGAGCCCCTTTCTGTTCTGGTACTGCTCACACTCAATACCAAGAACCTTCTTGGTTTGTGATTAGCAATACCAGATTACAGCACTGGTGGTGCTTTTTGAGTTTTTGAGTCAACCCTTGGCGGCAAGACTCCCTTGCACACTTCCTATATCATTGCAGCTTTTTCAGTACTGTCCTGGTTGCAGCTGGGACAGAGTTAATTTTCTTCCTAGTAGCTGATATAGTGCTGTGTTTTGGATTTAGTATGAGAATAGTGTTGATAACACACTGATATTTTAGTTGTTGCTAAGTAGTGCTTATCCCAAATCAGAGATGTTTCAGTTTCACACGCTCTGCCAGCGAGGAGGTGCACAAGAAGCTGGGAGGGAGCACGGCCAGGACAGCTGACCCAAACTACCCAAAGGGATATTCCATACCATGGGATGTCATGCACAGTATATAAACTGGGGTGGGTTGGCTGGGAGATGCCAATTGCTGCTTGGGGCTTGGCTGGGCATCAGTCAGCTGGTTGTGAACAGTCGCACTGTGCATCGCTTGTCTTTCCTGGGTTTTATTTCTCTCCTTTTTGTTATCTTCCTTTTGATTACAATTATTTTATTTTATTTAAATTATTAAACTGTTCTTATCTCAACCCACAAATTTTACTTTTTTTCCTTTTCTGATTCTCCTCCCTGTCCCACCAGAGGGGAGGGGAGGTGCAGGATTGAGTGAGCAGCTGCATGGTGCTTAGTTGCCAGTTGGGGTTAAACCATGGCATGTACACAGAAGGGAAGTTTTCGCCTTCTGAATCTTTATGCTTGAATGACAAGTGTTTTATTGTGAAATGTGTTTGTCCTACTTTGCACCAAGGAGCCTGTATATCTGCAAAGCTCTAGCTACTGCTGACACAAAAGTTCTTGTTGAAAGTCATCTTAGCTTTCCAGCAAGACAAGCTGCTGTACCTGTGTGAAATCTTTCTTCTATGGGATTAAGAGCTAACTAATGATAGATTTGTGATGTCTTATATTTGTATAGCAGATATGATAAATAACTTCTAATGATTTTGTATTTTTTGCTCAAATCCCACATTAACTATTAGCTTTACTTTTTAAATTTGTGGATTTTATAAACAAAATTGTCACTTAAAATTTTGGTGAGATAGTAATTGGCTTAAAGTATATTTTTGAGAGCCTTACATCAAGTTCAAAAGAATGGAAAAGGCTGATGTTTTAGAAGGCAGTCACACCACTTTCACCTAATAGACTGACTTTCTTGTCATTTTCTTAGTAGTGAAATTCTGTCAGAGTAATAGTGTAGTTCAGGATGTAATCAATAGCTTTCTTGTGTCTCTGACTGCAAAGATGGAAGACTTTTAAACTATAGTGTTAAGGAAGAATTTATTCTCAGACTTAAATTTCAGTATTCTATAAGATGTACGTTTGGCATCTTTTGCAATGCAATTTGTGCCTTCCAATTTAAAGTCAAAATGAGGTGGTAGAATATAAAGGTTGTAAGAATTTTACTACTAAGGCAGTAATTTCTTGAGTCAGTTTTATGATTAAAATAATTTAGCTTTTAACTGGACAATAACATCTCCTTTATTAACTGCTTTTATTTTAGTAAGTGTTCTGGAATTTTATGAGGAAGCAAATATGTTTAGGACATTGATAAATTGTCTCCTTAGAAGATAAGTTGCTATGGACACTAGTGCTTTATGGAATGGTATGGAATTATGACAGTTGAGTGGGATATTGTTTTCCTGTTCTGCAAGCTTGTTTAAATTCAGATCATAATGACTTGAATGACTAAGCAAAGGCAACAAACTGGGAACTCAAGAAAAAGCTTTTTAGAAGGCTCTGTAGTTATCTTGATGAGAAAATAGCTTGACCTTTTGTATTCAGTTTTGTTTGCAAAAATAAACCATTTACAGTTTTGACAACCAGCATTTTTTTGTTTGCAAGTTGTTCAAGTGGTCTCTCTTGGCAGCTTAATAATTGTCAGTGAAGATATACTTAAAAGCAATCCGTTCTTGTAGAAAGTTCTAGGTTTGACTAATTTGCAGTTAACTACTTCAAAACATTCTAAGTTGGGTTTATTTTCGGTGTGAAAAGGAGGATAACAGGTGAGCCGGTTTTGCATAGATGTTAATGCTAGACCTAAAATAATTTATTTCTCTTTAGTTCCTAAAAAGCAGTATACTTTCCAAGTACAGAAGCTTTGATTATATAGAATTGCTTTCATACGAAAGCAAGGAATTGGTAGATTTAAACCATGCAATGTATTGCAATTGTTAGGTCTCTGAGAAATCCAGCAAGCTACAATCAAATATTTGAATAGCTGTAACCCAGGAAGCTCAGTTTGATGAAATTATTTTGACCCGTAAAAAAAGTAAAGAGGAAGCTCAGAGCTGTCTTGTTAATTTTGCTACCCCTAAATTCACAGGTATTGTTCACTTAGCAAATAGGTAAACCTAAAATCCATCCTCATGTGAAATTGCAAGGTAAATCTTGAGTGATGTGGCAATTCGGTTGCAGCTGCTGTCAGAGAACAAAAATCAGTGGAAAGGATTCCCCCACTACGTGGGGCACATTGTCTCATAGAAAAAGAAGGGTATCTCCTAGCTTGGATATCTGTTTTCATTCTATGCTGAATATACCACGCTACAAAGAAAATAACTTCTCGTGCAAACATGTTGTACAAACAGAAAGAAATTCTCTTCACTCAATCTGTTTGGTTGCACTGTACTAGGCAAAATTGAGAAAAAAATAACAGGGAGGACAGTGGAACACAGAAGTAGAAAAGGATTAGTCTAGAGAATCCACAGAGAAGGAAAAATTTTTGAGAGTAAATATATATTACAAGACATTAAATTGTTGGATTCAGCTCGACATGAAGTTGTTGGATGCTTTTCAACAAGTCTCTGCAGCACTCCAGACCAAATTGTGCAGTTAGTTGTCTATACTGCTGCCAGGTTGGGAAGAGGCTGTGCGTGCACACATGTACAGTGGAGAGGGACTACACAAAGCAAAGAATAATAAGTTTAAATCATCTGTGATTCTCAGCAAAGCCAAATTTTCTATAAATTAGAGAAACAGACAGGATAAGGAGAACTGCACTAGATTACTTCAGGCTTGCTTGAGGATAAATACTTGGGTGGAAATCAGACTATATAACACCTGACTTGTATGTTAAGTGGCTACCTTTCCTTAAATACAAAATGTATATTATATAAATACAAAGTGTATAGTGTTCTTTATTAAAAAACATGATTTTGGGAACGCAGTGGCTTGCTGAAATAAGTTTAATTATTTAGAGTGTTCCTAGGTACCTTTGCATGTTTCTAGTACTAGCCTTCTTGGTGAAAAATTTAGGGTTAATAAAGTCATAAGAACATCCGTTGTAAAGATAATGGATGTGTTCTCAGGACCTGAGGGATGTAAATTCTCCCTAAGATATGGTGGAGAGAGGGACCCAAGAGCTTGGTTACCATGGATAAAAGTGATCAGATAGTAATGCAAGAAAATATGATGAGAAGAACAGGGAATAGCAGGGCAAGTACATGTTTCACACCTCAGCTATCTGCAACTGATAAACTGCTGTGACTAAAGAGGTCAGTAGTCTGGTTCAACACAAGCAGGTAATTGGGGAAGGGAAATTACACTATCCAGGTTACTTAATGTATTCTCCTCTTTTTTTGGAAATGAAACGCCCGTCACTCAGCCAAAAAATCAGTAGATTGTTGGAAATAGTAAAATCTTGGTGTCTCTCTGCTATGAGTACTGCATGCACTTGCAGTCATCCCGTTTCAGAATGCCCATGGCAGAATTAGAAAGGAACGGTGAAGACAGCAAGGATGATCACAGCAGGTAACAGCATCTGTTTGAAGAGGACTTAAAATAGGTAAAGATGTTTCAGCATAGAAAGGGGACATCTATGTAGGTCATGGATGGTAGGAAGAATGTGAGTCAGAAATCATTATTCAGTTGGTCATATAATTTAGCAGATGTCTGATGAAACTTGAGGCAGCAGTATCTCTGTTGTTCAGCTTTTTGAAAGGCCTTTTTTGGTGCATCTAAACCCAGAATTCAGTTCTGTGGGTAGTTGTGGAGATGAAAATTATAACTATTTTTAAAAATGGATTGGACAAATATATGGGGGATTTTAGAAATGCCAATGTAAAAGTTCCCAGTAAAACAGGAAAGATCAGTCTGTATCTGTTCCTTGTGCTCTTTCCTTGAACGTGCAGCTTACCACTGCCAGATGGGATTCTGAATCAGACAGATGTTTGGCTTGATCCAGTTTGGAAGGTCTCCTATTTTCCACCAAGTGTAGTGTGGAAACAATCAGGACATACTGGATATCAAGAAAAGAGGAATATTTCTATTTTTAATTCTGTAAAAGAAAGCCAAACATCTAAACTTCATTTCTTGCATTGGTGTAAATTATCAGTGATGCTGTGATTAAACTGATGATTTGTTCAAAGACCAGCTGAAGGACAGAATCAATGTACAAAATAAACGTATATATGAACTGCAGGACTTCCTACTAGTTTTGTTAGATGACACCAAGTATCACTGTAGCTCAACTACGCACTTAAATATGTTACAGTACATGTAAGTTTTCCAAACTAGAATACAAAGGATATGGTGGTAATATTAAAGCTATAGAAGCACAGCCATTAGCTAGCTTATATGCATGCTGACATTTCCTCTCCACGTAAACATGAAATTACTTCTGAAGTCTTCTGTCAGCCAAGTAGCAGCAGTTCTTCTATTAACATAGTGTAAAATTCGAATCGATAGCATAGACAACAAGTGACGACATTAGGCTCATCCTAGGAGTAACTAAGGATACACAGATGATGAAAAAAGTTGCCTGTTTTTCATAGCCAGAAGCTACCAAACTAAAGCTTTTGATAAACAAGAATAACTTCTCTGAAAAACCACTGGTATTTGGGATATCTTGAAAAGCAAGGTAAAGCTTCCAAAATATTGTTCTAATTTTCCTTCCGTTACAATGCTAAAAAGCATTAGTGACCATCGACAGTGTTGTTTGTTCCCTTTATTGCTACCATATTTTCTGAAACTTCATAAAAAAAAATCATAATTAAAAAATTCAGATTTTTTATTGTAGTCACCAGAGAATCAGTCATAGCATATCTATGAGGGAGGTTCTTGCATGAATTTATTTAGCTAAAGTTGCTTTTCAGTCTCTTTACATGTTTTGTTAACTGGTTAGTTTGAATCTTACACATACTTGAAACTAAATTCTGTATAATTTACTGTGGATGTATGGGTTGTTTGTTTTTTCTAAAATCTGAAATGATCTGTTCTATCCAAAACAGGTTTCAGCTGGTCTTAACAATTTTAATCTTAATTTTTGGAGTGTGTAGATCCCTTTTAGAATGGAAAGTATCACCACATTTATTTCTTGACATATTTGCTATTCCTTTGTAATTTATTTTAGTTAGTGTATTTTATTTTTTTCTGTGAAATCTGAATAGAAAAATTGAGTAGATAATTGCAGATCTTTTGGTCTTCCATTCATAAGAATTTATTTCTTCTAAACGGTAAAAGTTTAATTTCTGTTAAGATCAGATTTTAAATATATACTGGAAGGTAATTACTTTTAAGATATAGAGGCATTAAAAAGGCTTATAAGGATTATCTGTAACCATTTTATTTGATTTATCAGGTACTTGGCGACCCATTTCTCCATGGCGCTGGCTTTTTTCTGTCTTGGTTCCACTAGTGATTGCTACACAGGGTTTTAAGAAGAGGAGTCTTGATCATAGTGGTGCATTGGGAGGTATGTTTTTTTGAGACTACTCAACATTTAATAAACTAAATTAAGGTCCTTTTTATTGTACATAATATTCTTTTAAGACTTTCCCACCTAGTTCTATCCTAATAGAAGTATAAATGTAAGCATATATACCTTGAATTCATACTGATTTTTTTTTCTCATTCCTGTTTAAATAGTTATTTTTTGATGTTGTAATTAATTTTATTAATATTGTCATTAGATTTATATAAACCTATAAGATTGTATTAAACTTCAGTACAGCATGCAGTTAAATCACATGTTTTTCTTTAATGTATAGATGGATTCACATAGAAATAATGAAATGTCAGAAGCAGTGATAAAGTAATACCATAAAACTGAGCCGTATCAGCAGCCTACCTGCCTGGTAGGAAACCAGTAAAGATAACAGTTCTCCTTTCTATAATCAGTTTGGGGCATTTTTTGCCTCCCCAAAATAAGAAGAATATTAAATCTATACTTCACTTCAAGCAAATGACTGTTTCAACAAAGTTCTTGACCATGAGAAAAACACCAATGTAACATGCAATAGCATTCACTGGAATCTCATGCAAGGTCTCCATGTGACATGATTCACCCTTGTCTTGTGACGTTGCCTGAATTGATGGTCGATGGAAAGAAACAGGACCTCAAGTCCTTTCCTCCCATATCACCCATTTTGCAAATCTTGTTCTGTCTGTGAATTAAGGGGAGCATTTTCTAAATTTAAAAAAAAAAATCTCTTCTCTTCTGCTATGTTTTTACCTCTTAATGTAATGGCACTGCTAGCCAGCTTATATTGGCATTTGCTTTAACTGCAGCCAATTTTCTTTCAGTCATGAAGAATTGTAATCTCATGGTGGGCAGTGAGAATTAGTCCTCCCCTGTGAAGGAGGGAAGAAAAAAGAAGCATATCCAGGAGCAGAAAGAAAAAGATGGCACAAAAATTGGAAATGGAAAAAGAGATTAGGAATTGAAGGGAGAAGTAACATCTGTTAAAATATGGAGGTGGATTGTCCAGGTTATCTTAGAGACCTTGGGGGGGGGAATTTGATTCCTAAACTGAAGATAAACTTGCTGATAGAGACACAGCCACAGCTGTATATATGATTCTTATACAAATAATCATATTCTTCAGGCGGAGTACTTAGATTTCAATGATATATCTTTTGGCTTTTTTTTTTTTTTTTTTTTTGTTATTCTGTTTTTTATTTTTGCACAGTGTGGTCCTAAAAATCACACACTTTGGCAGTAGCAATAAAATTAGCAATTTAACAATAAAATTTCAGAGAAAATTATAAAGATGCCTGGGTTTTTTTTTTTTTTTTTAGTCAAGATGTCTCTGGAATTCTCATACAGGTATTAGGTGCTTCAGTCTCTTGTTGCATGGTTGTGTTAGTTTTGTCATGAAGATACTCTTTATAGTCAAGATTCAAAATACTTAATTGATTTACAAAGGAGGCATTGTTACATGATGAAACTTTATGTGTTTTTTTTTTTTTCATAGGATTGGTAGTTGGATTTATCCTTGCAGTTGCGAATTACAGTTTCTTCACTTCTTTGTTTGTGTTTTTTGTTACTTCTTCAAAACTTACTACATGGAAAAAAGATACAAAGAAGCAAATAGATTCAGAATACAAAGAAGGTAAGCTGTAACATTTTATTTCTTTCAGATCCCTTTGGAGAATAATTACTGCATGTTCTTTGTTGCAAAGGGTCAGATGAGATGTAACATCCGGAGTAGGGAACACTGTTGCTGTCCCTCCCCTCCACTCCCATCCCTGTGAACATTAGCAAGTGGCTTTCCTTTTGCTTCTGTTCTATTTAATAAATTGCTATCTAGTTTCTGTTTTGAAAGTGTGTGTCTTTAAATCTAGCTTTCTATATAATGTATTTTGGTTTTGTCTCATGCTGTTGCCTGTCAAGGTATTTTGCCTGAAAACACTATAATTCAGTTTTTGTCACTTTAGGTGGACAGAGGAATTGGATGCAAGTATTCTGTAACGGTGGTGTTCCTACCGAGCTGGCTGTCTTATATATGATAGAAAATGGACCGGGTGAAATTCCTATCGACTTTTCAAAGCAGTACACAGCATCATGGATGTGCTTATCCCTTTTGGGAGCTTTGGCATGCTCTGCTGGTGACACATGGGCTTCAGAGATTGGTAGTGTTATGAGTAAAAGCAAGCCAAGGTTGATAACAACCTGGGAGAAGGTTCCAGTAGGTAAGGGGTTATCTGTTCTACATGTTGGTAATATTTTGCTAATCTGTTTTGAATTATGTATCCAACTTGAAAAGTTCCAAAAAAGACAGAAAAGCAGACAGAAATCTGGGATTAGAAAATGTTAGCAGGAATGCATTCTCTCAAATGGAATATACTCAGTTGTGTTTCTGCTGCATCTTGTTGGTGAGATGCACCAACACAGCATCCAGGGACCTAAAATCACTCTTAGTGAATTGCTGTTGTTTCTCATCTCTGGCACTACTAGAAGTGTTTATATCGGCAATAATATAAAGTATACAAGTTACCGACTGAATTTTTCAGACACTAAAATTTTAAGCAGTAGAAGAACATATGTATTCAATACAGACACTACAAAAAATTCACTTCTTAACCAAATCACTCACCTACTTTACTCTCTTACCGAGGGTGGGTAAAGTGAACCTTGTGTCTGTCAAACCTTGCCTACTCAGTGGATGACATTGCTACATTATAGCAGTGTGTCTTTTTTGAGTCTTGGTGGCATGTTGATCTGAGTTTTAGATCTTGTGGGATAGGATTTAAAGGCATGGGCATTTTTTGTCTCTTTATAAGCATTCTTCAGATTTTTATTCAGTGAGCTGTCAAACATCTTCCTTTCTATGGATTTTGTTTTTTCTTTTAAATGTGTTGGTGAAATATGTCTTGGTATACTTCTGAAAGAGGCATTGCTTTAATAACATGCACTCTCAAGCTCTGTATTTTTTGGAGCAAACCTCTTTTTCCTATCCCACCCCCCACCTCTTACAGCAGAGAAATACCAGGTGACATTGAGAGGTGTGCTATCTGTTTTTATTGAATTTAATGCTAGTGAATATTTCTAGATAACTAGCCTTAGACACAGGAAAAATAACAGTAATAGGCTGTAATGGTACAGGTTAAGCTTCTCAGCAGCATAATGAGAATTGTAAATAAAAGCTGTGGTAGTGGGGTGTTGTGGATATAATGGGGAAAGATTACTGTGAAGATAGTTTTGATTTTATATAAAACATTTGAACAAATACAAGTTTTTAAGAAAAAGTTTTGTAACTCTGCTTGATTTTGTTTGACTTAGGTACTAATGGAGCAGTTACTTTAGTGGGCCTGCTCTCAAGTTTGCTTGGGGGCATGGCAGTAGGTATGGCCTACTTCGTAACACAACTCATTTTCGTGACTGATCTGGAAATATCTGCTCCACAATGGCCCATTGTTGTTTTTGGTGCAGCAGCTGGCTTACTGGGATCAGTTGTTGATTCATATTTGGGAGCTACGATGCAATACAGTGGTAAGATTCTTCTCTTTTTTTCTTTTTTTTTTTTTTTTTTTTTTTCCCCTCTCCTAATGTAACCTAAAAATGGGTTGAATTTCCAGAAGGGCTGAGGATGTGATTTGTAAGTGGAAAAAATACAGAATTAACAACATGAAGGACAAAGGGAACCAAAGTGATGGACATGATAATGAAAACAAGAGCAAGGGCAGTTGGCTCTTTTCCACTTTAGATTTGTTTATCTTAATGTTACTGTCTTGTTGGTGACTGAAAGAGACCAGAGACCTCCAACATATTACCTTTGAAGAAGCAATTGCTGCCCTCTCCTTTTCTATATATCTACTTATGGTAGCATTTGATAAGAAGAAATGTCAGCTTAATTTTATCCATTCAGTCAGGTTAAGTTGTCACTGCAGAAGCTTAATTTCTAACTCTGAAGACTTACCAATAGTCTCAGCTTTAAGACTGAAATAAGAAAAGCTCCAAGAAAATGTGCACAATATTTTACATTTTGGGTTTTTCACTGCTTTATAGAGTACTGTTCCCTATAAGTTAACCTTATCACAAACTAGCTGTGACTTTAAAAAAAAAATATTCAATTTTAAAAACAATTGTTGGCTGGCTGATTCTAAATGATTTCAGTATTTATTTACTTGTTGCCCTTAAGGATCACTGTGAATAAACACTACAGACAACCTTTAGGCTAAACTGTAAACTTACCCTATGTTTAAAAATTGTTTAAAGCCTTTATCTGACATTATTCTGTTTAACAGTTGGTTTACAGAGAGAACTTAAGTTTTCAGATTTCATTATCACTGTATTTATTTGTTGGAAGTCAAGGTTTGAATGTGCAGATGAACTGCTTAAGAGATACGTGTCCTTTAAATCTACCATCACAGTAAGAGCTGCAAACTGTTGATGATGCTGTGGATTTGGCTTTTCAGCAGTTTTTATGCTCTGTTCCTTGTAGTTCCAGGAAAGTCCAAAATATAGTGGAGCATTTAAAAAATTTAGGAATTTTTAGACATTTCTGTACCAAAGAGGAAAGCACTCAAACAATGTTTCATGCTCCTAAAGAGTCAGATGCATTAAGAGAATGTGGTAAACCTAGCTAATGCATGCCTGCACTTAGCAGCATCTATTTCTTCTTCACTTCAGATATTTTTCCATGATCAGCAACTTACTATGCTAGCTGCAGCAATGACAGCTTGCAAGTTCCACAATTTATTTTATAAATTCATAATCACTGCTGGAGTATATGTACTATATACACATATGTGCTAGGATATATAGATATATATGCTGTGATATAGATGAAATAGTGCTGCTCATGTGGTGCAGAGTTAGGTTTTGTGCCCCTCCTTACCTTAACCCACTTTTCCAATCCCTATTCCATGTGGTCTCATAAGATATACTCCAATGTCTCTGCAGCATCTTGAAAAACAGTAAATAAATATGGCAGTAGTAATAAAGAATTGTGTCTCTTTTTGGAAACACTATGCTACCATTGCTGATCCCTTCTGTCAGTGTTTCTCCTGTTGGTAATCTTCCTAGATTTGGTTTATGTAGTAGTCTGTGATACCCACTGTTTCTAAGAGGAAGTCCTTCCCTGCCCACACTTTCATTAAGTAAAACTTTGTCTGAATAGCTGTGCAGAATTAGATTAAAATTTTCCTGTGTTACCAGTCCAAAGCTGGCAACATATTCTGTAAATAACAAAGCTAATGGAAGGATTTACGGTTACCTTTCCTGCTTGTTTATGCCCTGAATCTATGCTTTATGTGCATTTGAGGTATTTACAAAAATTTATTCCCAGTTTTTCTTTCAAGAAAACTTACAACTTTCTAAAACATAGCAAGTGTTGAGAGTTAAACTATCAGTCTTTGAAGTTTGATTTTCTTGTAGCTCTTTTGCATTATCCAAAGCTAGGTTTAAATGCATGATTCAAAGGTAGCAGTAATACTATCTATATACCTTCCAAGCAGGTGTGTGGTGTGGGGACTTTTTTAAGTCTTGGCTGAGGTGCTGAAAATTTTTTTGTAAGAAAACAGAAGCTCGAAATGAAATTTCCATGTTGTGGGTATTAGCAGATACTCAAATTTGCAGAGAAATATAATGTTAATATAAAATGTACTGATTTGGTTTGGAATGTTTCTTTATGTCAACCTTAAATGTGTGCATATGCATACACTCAGTTGTACTTCACTATAGTGTGAGTTGGCATTAAAATCAAGCATGCTAGAATTTTATGCTTTTATCAGCTTATAAAATAATGCAGCTGGACAAAACATAGGATATTGGTGTATGTACAGTAACAGCTAATGAAACACAGTGTTAGTGTACCAATAATACAGAGGTAGAGCAAGAAATGGCTTAAGTAGTAGGGAAAAAATCCAGCTGCTAATAGTATAAAACTGCTGTGTAAATAGAAATGATAAATTCAATTTCTGTAAGGAGCTTGTTTTCTGTCAGATCAAGTAATAATGTTATTTCCATAATTTTCCTTTGAAAACAAATACATCTTGACAGGAAATACATGTTGCTAATCAGCTGTTTCTGTTCTGTTCAAAACAGCCTCCTTTTGCCTTAGAGTAGCTCTTGGAATAGCTTTTTCCTCTTCTGATTTAGCTTGTTTCATTCCTTTCTTTGCTATGAAACTACATGAAGAGAGAAGTAGACCTGAGAGAAATAATTTCTAACGTAAAGTATTCCATTTATATCCCATTCTTTGAAGCTACCAGATGAAACTAACTGTCATTTAGTTCAGTCTGTTGGTGTCTTTTCTTACAGAGGTTTAACAGCATAATGGTGAACTAAATTTAGGAAGTTGCATACATTTAGTTAGTAAGGTTTCTTTTCAGCTCAGTTGGCTTTGTAAAATGAAGTTTTTATCTTTTCCCAGGTTTTGACCAGAATATTGGCATGGTTGTCAGCCACCAAACAAAAGACTCCAAGCACATATCTGGAAAACCTATATTAGACAACAACACAGTAAATCTTTTTTCTTCTATAATCATTGCTTTGGTGCTTCCAGGCGTGGCGTGGTTTTTCTGGCCCAGGGGTTGACATGGTTTAAGGTTTTCTGCATGTGATCCATTTATGTTCAGTCTTACTCAAAGACTCCAAAGACTTCTCGTCAAACTCTCTTGAAAAGAGGGATCTGAAACTTTGAGAGAGCCAAAGGACTTTGCATCTCAACTTACTAAGGTGTACGCTTCATATGGCAATTGGCATCTCTCGGGGCAGGGAAGGGGTTTGGTCAATATGCTCTTGCTGCTCTTCGAGTGGATGCAGATCACTGCCAAGTGAGGTGAAGCACTTCATTTATCCTCATGGAGCTGAAGGGTTGGTGTCATGTTCTCGCCTGTCCCCAGCATCTGCAAGAAGCTGGAAATAGAAGTCAGACACAAAGTACACTGCAATTCCGTGTAGGCAGTGATAACATGGGTGAAATGGGTGAATTCTGGTGTTTCTCATAATCTACAGTATGTAAGGTTTTATGGAAATATTTTTTGGGGGTGGGGGAAGAGAGGAGTAAGCCTTGTTGCCTATTCTGTACCCTGATACTATCTCCAATTCCCTGAGAATAGGGTTGGTAAAAGTGATGACAATACATAATGCTTGAAGCAAAAGACTAAATTTAAAATAAAAAATCACTAGTTTTTCCAGTAAGAATAATAAATTTGTCTGTGCTTTTCTGACATCTTTATTTCAAAACTAATGATACTTATGAAGATTGTCAATACTGTGGTACTTATTAAATTATCTAAAATTAAAGATTACAGTTGTGAGTTCACATTCATCTCTTTAGAAGTAGAGCATTTTTCTTCCATAAGCATACAATTGCTCCATAATATTTAGCGTTCTGACCAAACTATACTCTTTGGTTCTTTCTCAGCAGTGGAAGTGTTTTCTATTTTGTTAGGGGTTGCTATTCAGAGATGATGGCCTCAGCCAAAGAAGCTACAGAGGTTATCCTCATAGTGAATGGGGAAAGTCTCACTTATAAACCATTTAAAAATGGGAATTTAACTTTTGGTGCTCAGGCTCCTATGTTAGGTAATTCCATCTTCCTTCGTTAATTTATAAAGTAATTTAGCCAGCAAAGATTTTTATTTAAACTTTAGAGATACCCTCATAAAAACCTGTCACTGTCAACATCCAGAAGGTAGGGCCCATTCTGTTAACTTATAAAAAGCTTTTTTTTTTTTTTTTTCATCTGTAGAGATAGTTGAGTATTTTGTAGTAAACATCTGGGTTTTTTACAAATGTCTTGTGTATATTGCCTGTCTTAATTCGCTTGTGTTTTATGTCACCTTTTATGGGACTATTCAAAAGTTTGAACACCTTTCATGTTGAGTTTACCCTTCTGAATTTATCACTGGAACTAGTTCACTGTATTATCCAATTACAAAGCTGAGATTTCAAACTAGTAAAAGCTTTCTGAAAAGAACAAATTGTGTAGCTGCTCTATGTCTGTTCTTGTGAAGAGGAACAAAATTATAAAAGGAATATATGCACTTAAACTGTAACAATAAACACTTGAGATTTTTATGCATTGTTTGGATTTATGCGGCTTCTAAATAAACACTGGATTAGTTGTCTTTTAAGATTTTATTAATAGTGTTGTGATTTCTAGAAGTAAGAGAGACACAGTTTTTGTAAGATACTTTTTCTTTCAATTAAATGCCTTATTTTTGTATTCCTTTGTTCCCTGAAACAAAGTATACTTTCAAACACCGAAGTGGACATGGTCAGCTTTTCCCTATTTAATACGGGTCTCATTTGAAAAACAGCTTGTCACAGTGAGAAGACATCTGTAATTTTAAATTCACAGCAGCTCGAAATGCTTTGATCTGTTAGTATATGAATGAATGTGATCTGAATGAACTCCTGCAAGGAGGACCTTCAAAGGCCATTATTCAGAATTTTTTATTTGTCATGTCTCAGTGATGGCACTGAGTTGCTTTTGAAATTCCCACTCTCAAATCTCCAGTATTTAGGAAGATCTGAGCACTCTTGAACTCTGGGTATATTACACTGAGTGGAGTATAACTTATGCAAATATTGTTACATTTAACTATTTAGTAGCTGTAAAGCTGTTAGATTTTGGGAAGAGGCAGTAAAGAATACAGGGAAGAAGTTACAGAATGTGACAAACTCCCTGTAAGTTGGTGTGTGTCACGAAGAGCAGTTCCTGAGCTCAGAAAGGAGAAGACAGGAATACTGTCCACATGCTACTTGGAGAGGCAGAAGATGCAGGAAGTAAAAGGAAAAGTAACGAAGAGAGGAGGAGCTAGGAAACCCCAAGGAAATCCATAGATCTGAAGGTGCAAAATAGGTCGCTGCAGTAAGCAAATTTAATTTCATTCTTTAAACACTCAACTATTTATTTTGCTTCAGAACCACCAGTACCATTAGTGTATGAGAACTCTGTCACCGATTTCCTTTCATATTGAGGTGGCACCAGTATTTCCACAGCACCAAGATAATACACTCAATATTTTTTTAGTTGAAGAAGTTACGGTTGTGAAGCATTGGTCCTCATTCTTGCCTTGATTTCTAGATGTGTTGGAAGTTCAAGTAACAGTATGATTATGATACAATTGAAAAATTGAGAAATCTTTAGGCAGGTCTCACTTCGGCCTGATGTCTTGATCCTAAGTGTTGAAGTATACGGGTATCAGTCACCAACATTCAGTTATTTTTTTGTATTTCTGTTCTGTTGTTACAGATTGTCTTGGGTCTGTGCATGCTGCTGTTAAGTGGTCCATCATTGCAAATGTAAACCACAGTTCCCTGGGGCGACCAAATAACGTGGTATAAAAAATGAAGGGGATATGCCACCTCTCCTAGGTATTAAGGACTAGCGGATGTTCGGAAAACTGAGGCTGAAGCATTTTGAAATACTGTTGGTATTTTAAAGAACCTGATTTGGGCACTGGATAAATGTGACAATAGATTGATATTCACATTAAAATCTGTTAGGATTGGGTATCTCAGATTTGTAAGTGGGATTTGTTTTTCCTGTGTTTGCCCCAACAGTGCTTTGGTCCCTACTCAGTCTTTTTTAAAACTTCATTATCCAGCATTTTAAATTGCAGTAAGTCACTCTTCTTCAAGCAGGAGTTAACCTATTTACAGAAAGTTTATTCACTTAAAGCTTTGTAGTTATATTACAGTCTCTGCTTCTGGTTATTGCCATAACTGGGTAATAACTTTCAATTTAAATACTGCTTCTGTTGGGGGGGTTGGGTGCAGCTCTCACAGTTATGGACCTGTTGTAATGTGTAAATCAGTGCAGATACATGAATTCACTCAGACTGTGGATCCCTGCAGTGTTCCCAAGCCTGCAGCCACCTTCAGTAAAAATGCAAGTCCCAAATGAAGATGAAATATGGAAATGTGGAAATAAAGCTGCCGGGCAAATGGCAGCTTGTACTTGTGTACTCACAAATCTGTAAAACTTGAGTCCAGCTAAAGAAATTCCACCAGGAAAGCATTTATTCAGTAGTTTTTTCAGTCGCTATAGCCACTAACTAAATCATAGAACAGCCCAGGTTGTAAGGGACCTTGACAGATCATCTGCTCCAACCTTTTGTGGGAAAGGGAGCGTAGATGAGATTATCAAGCACACCGTCCAATTGCATCTTAAAAATGTCTGGTGGTGGGGGCTTTACCACATCCCTAAATGCCAGTTTTACTTGAAACACAGTAAGGCAGATGCACAGGAAAGCAGAAGACCACGGTTGTGGGAGTTCTGACCAGGAAGCCTTCTATCTGATGGACTGATAATAAGAACTAGTAACATCACACACATCACTTTGAAAATATGTTTAGAATAAACATGTTCTCCCTTAGCAGACCTAGCAAGATGGTTTGCTCTGTGCTGCTCTGGGATTTGCCGTTTTCAAGTAGGGGTAAGTGCTGGTTCCTAAGTTGTTGACTGAAGAAGACCAGGTTTAGCTGAAATGTGGAAGAACCAGTCTGACCCGTGTTGAGGGAAGGGGTTTTGGAAAGGGGAATGCCACCAATATGGGAACAACTGCTAGTTTGGGGGGAGCTACCTGGTTGGACTTGCAGAGCCACCTGTGAAGCCCTGTATAACTTGTTTGCACCTCTCTTGACAGGCGGCTGCTTTTTCATAGCTTTGTTCAAACAAGCATAAAGCAGAATTAAACACTGCAATGTGATCACCATCCAAATTTGTCTTGGAGGTTCAAACCACGCCACTAGCAGGGATGACTGGTTTTAAAAAAAATGAGTGCAATCTGCAATTAGAGGAAACATCGGTAGAAAGCAGTTAAGAGAAGTCTTCTGGCACTCATTTGTTAATATTCTCTAGTAACTTCAGCAACTAGTTTGGTAAGGACTTTGCAGCTGCAGCCCTAGCTGCAAAGCTAAGAAGATTGAAGGACATCAAAAAAAATCATGTTGGCCCTAGGAAATGACATCATGCACATAATGCAGAAGCAAACACCTGTAAACAAACCTCCTGTTGCAAAGGCCGAGCTCTGCACCCCACCCTTGTGGTTCTGCAGCTGGGGAGAATTTTAATCTATTTTTAATTTTCTCTTTCAGTTAACCCAGTTATGGGTTTCATACAACCTCTTGGGTTCACAACATGTTTGTTTGGATAAACGCATCAATCAGCTTCTACCCTTAAACCCCAGCACAGATATACATTTATAAGAGCATTAAAATCCCCATGAAGCAGCCCAGATCACCACTTCTTCTGAATGCTTGGCTAGTATCAGTCATGGGGGCAACAGTAGTGACTGTGATCTATAGTTTCTTGCTGAAGGGCTCTTGCTGCAGTGACTTCTGCAGAGTTCAGCCCAGTACTAGCAGAACAATGACTTCTGTCTTCCTGATTTTTTTTGTTACCATTACTCATTATCCCGATATTTCATTACTCCATTTGCTGCTTCCTAAGTCCTGAAATCACTCCACTGTTGAAGGCTGCTGCAATCAAATGCTCCCCCAAAGCAACAGTAGTTTCAGTCTGCCTTAAACTGCCAAATGCCTCTGGTTATGGTGCTCCCAATACATGTGCATCATCTTGTATTAAGCGTCTCCTTCTAATATAATTTAAAATGAAAAAGTGAAAGGAGCTGATCCATGATGCATTGGGATAAGAAGCATGAGTGTAATTCACCTCTGGAATTCTGGAAACCCTATGTTTTTTGGTAGCTGCCATAAGAAAATTAAGAAATGTGTGTCATCATCTGACATTGCACCTGGTGGTATCTGCCCGAGAGGCTCTACAGCTGGTTTAACCTGCGTAAAGCTATGCCAGAAATCAAAAACAAAACACCAGCCAAACCCTAAAAAGTGCCTGAAGCCATTATCACAAGACAAAATGGAAGCATAATTTAATTTATTGTACTTTAGAGTTTGAAGTTAAAGTAACAGAAATATTCTCACACTAGGTTGCCTCTAGACTTATGAGTAATGCATCACTAAGACTCAAATAGGTTTGGTTTGGATTAACATATACTTTATATGCATTCAGAACTCACCTGAAATAAAGAATATAATCTAGAAGTTAAGCTTAGATGCCTTTCCTTTTCCTTTCTTATCTTTAATGAAGCCAGTTTTTTACTATATACTTTGATTTTTTCCCACAATGGAAAACTGCTAGTCATCTGTCTTCATTTACTGTTCCATGTGAGAAACTATCTTAAGGTATAAAAAAGTCACAAGGACAGAGGCAAGAATAAATCCATTTGTAGTTCTGAAAATGCTTTGCCTAATTCCTCCTTGCAGATGTTTTGCTCTGGAGTGCAAGCTCTAGGTTGATTACAACATGTTCCAGTTCATTGACTTGTACTCTTAAATCATATTTAGGCAAACTGTTCTCTTGCCTCCACCTCTCCACACAATCACAGGAACACAGGTCTTGTACAGTGCATGGCTTGAGTGAGCTTGCAATAGTATTTTCTGAAAGAGAATAAAGTCCAAATTCACTAAATACACAAGGCTTAATTTAAATATTCTCCAACCCAAAATGTTCTCCAACCCCATCTAGTGACTTTTGCAGCAAATTTCTTCCTTGTTAGAGAATGACAGTATTTTCATAGCAAATAGATTATATTCAATCTTGATATGTAGCACATTTAAAGTGAAAGAGATGTTCTATCTCAGATTTTTTCCTTGATTTCTTGGTTATTTTCACTGTAACAGGGCAGTGTTGTTACCCTCTATTTTCTTGAGATTTTTTGAGAATACTGCTTTTATTGGAAAAAGTAAACCTTCCATGTGCTCACTTAATACTTATGCTAAAAAATAAGTTACTGGTGCTACCAAACCATTATCTGTCATAGGAGAAAAGTGAGTGCTTAAGAATTTCGTAACTGGCCAAACTGAAAAGAAGAAATTAATGAATGCAACAGCTGATTTCATATTAAGGAACACAAACGAACATATCATTTAATGGCAGCCTGAATTACGTATGCACGTATTAATGTTGATATTCAGAATTTAAGGATTGTCCTGAAGAATGAAACATGTTAACAATTAACTGTTGTTGACATTTGTACATCGTGTTAACAGCAAAATCCTACTAGGTTGGGACTTGTGAGGAGGAGGTGGGAGGAAGATATCTGTG